GACCAGAAGAGGCATGAGGCAGAAGTGAGAAGTAGAAGGGCAAGGGAGAGAGACGGTGAAGAGGAGTGAGACTAACTGCAGTGAGGGACTAGGCTAAGAAAGGCACACTAGTAAGTCATTGCTGGAGATTTTGGGGGAAAGCTCAGAATTCTGAAGGAAAACCAACTCCATGTTTGGCCTCTTTGTGAAGCTGTAGCACAGGGATGAAGCTAATGGTAGCCCATGACACACTCATGCCTTTCTGTTTTAGTTTACCTTTGTTCTGCTTTCCAAGAGATATCCACTTCTTAGATCTTGGAAAAGACCCTCTGAGTTTTATCTCAGTGTGTTTTGTCCTGGCTATTTAATGTAGATATCCTAAACATTTAATTTATATTGTTATTCAAGAATGTTTCCATTCAAGCCTTCATTTCCAGCACTTTCAGCTTTAATTAACCTCACAGTTTATCTTTGACACAGATTCCCATAAACACAGCTTTGCACAGAATAAGGAGGCCAACATGTGGTTTTTGCAGTGGACTAACACATGAGCCCAAAAGGTGCTCCAGGCTTATCAATTTTGTCATGAGTATTGCAAGTCCTGCGCTCCCCAGCCTCTCTGTGGGGAGGATATTTTACAAGGATAGACTTGAAGCCAGACACAAGTTTCCCCACTGAGTTGAATGGGAATTAAAGTTGGCTGCAGAGTTCAGCGCTGTAAGGGGGCTGGGAGAGTGCACCTCACTGTTTTTACCATAAAAAAGATGTGCTCAATGGCACTAGAAGACAGCTGGCACCTGCATCTCTTCTTTTTAAATTGAATAAACAGAGAAAATAAATTTTACTCGTTATTCCAGCCCGAAGTGCTGATTTCAAATTTAAGAGAGTAGTTATTGTATAAGTTATATGGGGAAACTGGATCCAGTTAATTTGGTGATACTCCTTTGACTGTTTAATGCAAAACTCAAGAAGGGTAATAAAAAAAAAAAGTACTTTTTTCCACACGTGGGAGTAGGTTGTGCATTTCCACCTAACAAACAAAAGATTTTAAAAAACAATGGCTTGATTGAGATTAGTGGGGTAGATGTAGCTGATGTATTACCAGCAGGGACCAAGGCCAGGAGCTGTTTAATCCTTGGAGGGAAGGAGTGCCAGCAGGAGTGGCTGCCAAGGACTCCCCAGTGCCTGACCTGTGCTGGGCACACGCAATGCCCAGCACCACGCGGGCACTCACTGAGCTGGGATAAGGCTGGACAGCACCCCAGGCTGTCACGTTATTGACGTCCTTTGGGAGACAAGGTGAGGTTATTCACTGCCCAGTCTTGCAATCTCCCCCCCCTCAGTTTTATTGCTAAGTGCCCTTTGAGCTAAAGGTGCAGAAAGTCCTGCTATTGAGGAATACCCTGCTGCAGAGCTTGTCCTATGAAGTGAGAGGGATAGCAATGGTGTGAGCAGTGCCACCAGGTCATCACACGCAGGAAAGCCTCCTAAGAGGGACCACAGGCTGCCTCTCCATGCACACACCATGTTTTTAACTGGAGGGAATAACATACCTCAACCCAAAAGAATGCTGGGGCAAGTATTTCCTGTCTAAAGATATGTTAAATAAGAAAGAAAGAGAGCAGATGCCTTTCCAAGTCTTTATAGGTATATGAAGAAGAAAGTGTGGATCCTGGGGTAGGGTTTCCTCAGCACTCAAGTATACCCTCACAATGGTGTGAGACATTGTGTGGCTACATCCCCCCATCTCCCAGAGATCCCTCAAGGTAGATCTCAATGGTTTCTCTTGTTCTTCTGTCAGATGTTTCCATGGGCTTCTCCTCAAAAGGGAGAACCCAGGCTTACCACATGCTGCTCTTCACGATTTGGCAAAGAGCAAGGACAGGAACAACATATGTGTCAAGATCTGTGCTTAGGGAAGAACAACAGACAATAGCCAGGGAAGTGGTTTTAGTGCAGGTGACAATATCAGGGGACATGTATTTGCTTCCTGTGAATACCTGTAATTATCAGACTGCTAACAGAAAACTAAAAATAGTGGCACCCAACATCTATTCCATAAAGTGCCTCTACAACACATCCACACATCTCCCTTTTCCACCTGTGTGGCATCTAGCTGAAGTGCAAAGGTCTGGCACAGCCTTTCCCCAAGTTCATTTCTCCTCTTCAAATCTCCTAAAATCTGTTTATTTCTTAGCTTGATTCCAGAGCCTACCTCTCCAGGTGGGTTTCGTGCTATGCTGTAATCCCTATTCTCCAAGTAGCCTATTCCACATTTAGGAACAAAAATGCCCTGGAACTAAAGCAAACCTCAGCAGTGCAATACAAATAACATAACCTTTGAACAGAGTAGAAGGAAAGAAATGGATTGTGTGAGAGAGAGAGCAGTGTGAATCCCAGCATTCTTATTCTTCCTCTTGTGCGTTGAGATAACGAGTGAAATGTCTAATTCTTCCTCAGCATCAGTGATGGTAACTGCATCCCCCACTGTCCTCCAGCTCTTTCCTTGTTGCTAGCAAACCCATCATCCCACTCTTCCTCCTCAACTGGTATTTCTGGTGGCTGACAGCCAAGAAAATAATGAGTCCTGGCTGAGGCCAGCATTTGTACTCGTCAGCAACCAAAGATAGTGTGATAATGAAAAAAATGTTTTCTGTCTACTATGGTCTAGTTTTGAGCCATGGTGCAAGCCATCAGACACAGCACACCAAGCAGGTGTAACCATGGTGCAAACCATCTGACACACTACACACAGCAGGTGTAACCATGGTGAAAGTCATCAGATACACTACACAGAGCAGGTGTAACCATGGTGAAAGCCATCAGACACACTACACAGAGCAGGTGTAACCATGGTGAAAGCCATCAGACACACTACACACAGCAGGGACTCTTCAGTCAGCTGTGGGGAAAAATTTACAAAGCTGCTTGTTTGGGGTGCAAAAGTTAACCCATGCCTCTGAGTGTCAGGCTGTCGTGGACACCAGTGTTTTTTCTGTTTCACTCCTAAAACTGCATTAAAAATGTCTAAGCAGTGCCCAACCAACACAAGAAGCAACCTATAAGTCGTAACACTTGTATAAACTGATTAAACAGGACTGAAAACAGTATTTCTCTTTTTCTTTTAACTGCTGTTATTAGAAAGGACCTTGAATCCATCCCACTGATTAGTATATCAACACCTTGTACAGCATCCAGCAGCAGCCAGAGATGATGAGATAACTCCTCCACTACATACACTGGAGGAGAAGAAGAAATTCCTGAAAGGAGGTCAAACTGCCTGGTGCCCATTTGGGTTGTGTCAGCCCCAGTAAATCCCACTTTCTGCTGCCCTGGCCAGAGGCAGAGTGGTGTGGCAGGCCCTGAGCAGTGGCTCCTGGCAGCAGGATGCCAGATAGCATCCCGGGCTGGGTGCTGGAGAGGGGATGTGCACCCCCCATTGCTGACAACTGAAGATGCACGTCCAAGCCCCAGTCCACACCCACTCCATTAGAACAACTGCAGACATTCAGCACAACTAACATCTCTGTGGGTTAGAAGGCTAAATAAATAAGAGATGAATAGCTACGTACATCATAGCCCTTTATCCTGGGAGACTCAGTGAACCTGAATTCCCCAAGAAAAGCAAGTAGGCTGCATCTGTGCCTGTGCTCTGATTAATCTCATTGGTTTGTTTTCCTGGAAACTAGATGCTCCAGATGCCATTGTTTCCATTATAAGTGTTCATCTGCCCTGTTTTGAGCTTGATTGCTCCTGTAGCCTGCTTGGCTTAACTGTTTTTTGTTTGTTTGTTGGTTGTGGTTTTTTGGTTTTGGTTTTTTTTTTTTAAATTAACATTCTTAAACAAAATGCCAGTAAATTAAAATGAAGACATAGCTGCAACCCTCAACACTAGATTTGTTAAATGTTTAAAAACACCTACAGCATACAGAAACCCTAAGCTGTTGTACGCAGTGTGACTAAATTATTAATAGTTGCCATGCACATCACACAAGGATTTCAAAAGGGGACTTTGTGTTTCTGCAAAACACTGCTATTTTTGTCTGACAGTAGAGACAAAATAATTTGAAAATTAGTCTCTTTGGTACTAATCACAACTGTTACTAAAATATTCCCACTGTAGGCATAATACAGTCATTTTTTATTTTTGAGAGAATTAGACATTTCACTCGTTATCTCAATGAAAATCTTGAAAGTTGACAATTTGTTAAAATACAAACAACACATAATTAATGAAAACATAGTGAAGCAAATAGCTATTTCTAGTCATAAAAGCTCCACTAACTAGTACAATAACATTCAAGCACAAATTAAAGTAGTAACATTTACAGAAGATACCACAGAATATTTGTTTTATGGGTTGGAAAGACCAGCTATGGGGTCGTTTAAGGTGGGATTTTTAAAAGCATGAAGATATATGAACGGATTGCTACAGTTAAATTTGCTTTACAGAAAAAATAACATTCTGCTGTGGGCAAAAACAGAAATACGGGAAAATTCTCTTCTGTCTCAAGTGAATTATTTCTGGTGAAAGGCTTCTCAGCGTTTTGCTACAGGCATGCAGCTTTACACACAGAACATTATGCATGTACACAGACAGTGCTCTACTGGGGCTGTCTATCCTGATGCCCTCCCCTATACCCAGATCCCCACAAGGCTATTTACAGGAATAAAGGAAAAACACGGATTCGGAAATGGAAATAAACCCCAAACCAATGAACACCTAAAACAACAGCACAGAAAAACAAGTTGATAAGGGAGAAAGCAGCTTCACTCAGTACGTCTCAGCTGCTTCCAAGGCAGAAAGCAATGGGGACGTACTGCTATTATTAGCCCTCCGGATGGGAAGCAGCACGGTGTGAAGCTGTTGGCAAGAGGTTGCAGGATTTTCTTCACACGTATGCACAGGCACAGACACACAGGCAGACAGACCCCCCGACACTCATGGTGAGCCCCTTCCCGCCACTCGGGTCAGACAGACAGACAGAGAGCACAATGCCAGCGCGACTGTGCGTACTCACAGCTCGGAGTACAAGAAGTGCAGGTTGCCCACATTGTCTATGTAGTTTGCAGGACTTAGCCAAGGTAGGACCAGTAACAGGAGAGCCTTCATTTTCAGTGCAGTGCTGGCACTGCTGCTAGGTTTCCTCCTTCCCACCGTCTCTCTGTGCTGGTGGGACACACCACGAGAAGCTTTCGTGCCAGCCAAGCCCCTTCTAAGCAAGCCTTTCCATTTCAACGCAATGGTAGCACATTACGAATCGAGCTTAAATCCCTTAAACGAAGCTACACTGCAAAAATCATTGACCTGTAAGAGGATTACTCGATCTGACTCTCAGATGGGTAGATGTGAGGGTTTAGGGACAGCACAGCGTGGTTGGCGAGACAGTGACTTATGCTGCAGAGGAGAGCGATGCTCGGGGAAGAGACCTGCCTCCTGCAGGATTCAGAGTGGTTCTTCAGAGGCAGCTGGTATGTTTACATCACTGCCCACAAGCAGATGGGTTACGAGCTAAACTGCATCACAGAAGGGTGTAGCTGTCTGACAAGGAGGGGGAAAAAATGCCCCCTGTGGAGTTTTGTAGCAGGCGATATCAGAAGACCACACCTTTTTAAAGTAAAACACTGCAAAAGATCACAGCCAACTGCTGGCTGTTTGCATCTCAGTTCTGAATTCACCAAATCCGGTCAGATGTTTTTGTACAAACATAAATCTTGTAATAATCCAAGGACATGTCGCTTTTCAGGGGTTTTTTTTGAAGGATGCAAGAGCAAACATTTTAAATAAGGATGCTTTCAGTTGACTGCTCCATGGTAACCAGTGTTTAAAAAAAATGGTAAAGTTCTCTCATCAATTACAAAGCATAAAACAGCAAGCTCACCTTGTTCCATCAGTGACCTCATCTCTGATCAGGGCAAACTTTTGTTTTCTCTCTAGGAACCAAGACTGGTCTGAACCTGAATAATGCAAGTAGTGTGAGGACTGCTGGCCACCCTGGTGACCCTAGCAGAGTCTACTTTAATTTATTCACTGAGAACACAATAATGTTCTCTGGAGATATCAGGTGGGCTCTGAACTGTTGTTATTGCAGACACCAAATATTTATGATTATTATTGTATTTTTAATTAGCAAAATCACACATTTTCCCTTCCCTCTATTGACTCACAAGAGTTAAAGAGAACAGCATCAGCTCAGTCTGTTTAATCTGTCCCTGGGCATGACAGAGCACAACATTCTTCTCGCCATTAATTGGAGATGGGGAGGCAAGAGAGGTTTCTGCATTTCCAACAATTAAATTAGGCAGAGGCATAACATACCTTAGGTGATAATTAATTAATGCTGTGTTTAAAGAAAATAAAGGTACTGTGCAGCATCTGCAAGCACAAGGATGTAGAAGTCCACCTTTAGGGATCACTCAGAATGTTCTTTCCTATTTCTTCCCTCACGTGGGATTGCTAGTGGCGTTACAGTATCTGTCCCCTGTAAAGCTGAAACCCCCAACAGAAGTTCCCTGTGGTTTCCTATTCTCCTGTCTCTGCCCTTTGACCTTAAGGTAACTCAGCACTCCCAACCATTCTGAGGAAAGAAAAGCCATGTCATGAGTAGGAAGACAAAAAATGTCCAGCCTATGCAGCAATGTTTTGTACTTGCCTACATTAGAGGCTTTAGGGTAGGAAGACCCTACTGCATCTCTCCAGCCTTCTGCTCCTGGGGTTTGTAAACCTGGCACTGGTGCAGGGAACCTGACACAGGCAAGAGGCAACTGCAAGAGATGTTGGGAATACATTCCTGAGACAATCCTTTCTATCTCTGCTTGGGCTCAGGCCAAGCAAGCCAGAAGCACAGGATCTTGAGGATCCTGAGGGGAAGATCCATGCCAAGCCACTGACATTCAACAGTAAGTTCTAGAACAAAACTTGCCAGGCCTTTACAGGACCAAATCATTGTTTATAGCAATGCAATTCTGTAAGATATGTAGTAAATGGTACCTTTACTACCACCTTAAGGAAAAGAAACTAAGACACTGGAGTGACTTGCACATATCCACGTAGGAAAATCAATGCTAGAAATCAGAAGTTGTGCTATCTGTGTGGCCTCCATGCAAAACCCAGTATTTCAATTTGCTTATTTATTGGGGGTTGGGGGTAAATTGGGAGTGGGTGTCCTGCTAATTTTATAGCCACAGCATCATCATGTCAAAAAAATGAAGACAAACAGGAAGGTCTAAATCACATTAAATTCCGCTATAGGTGTAGCAAAGGGAAAGGGCATTTGCAGTAGGGGTTCAAGATTTTGTGGTTGGAATCTGTACAGAAACGTAATTTCAGTGACAGCAGCTCACAGAAAACTGATAGTCCCCTTACCTGCATTTCTGTTGAAATGAACATTTGAGGCCTATTAGAGAAGCACTGACCTAAGACATAAAATTATGAGTAACTCTGTTATTTTGTCCCCTTAGCCACACAGAGTGGAACTCCCAGAGCACTGCTGGCCTGGGCTGGGGCCTGCTGCCACTGCCTCTTGCACCATGAGCCACAAGCGCCCTCACAGGGAAAGCCAGGTCCAGAAATGTGGGGACAAGGGCACCCAAATCCACAAACACCAAACCTCCAGCATGTGAAAATGGTCGCATGACCTTCGCAAGGGATTAATAAACCCATTGCTAAAGTTTGTGGGGGCTTTTTTGGTTTTAGTACTGCAAAATCATCACATTTTTGGTTGGTTAGGATACCATAGCTCAGTGAATATCTTCAAGTGAATAAATTCCTAGTGGGAATCCAGGTGCTTCAGGAAATGAGGTCTCCAGTGCAAATGAGGACATGTTGAAGGGCAGGCTGCAGAGCCATTTCTGGTTGTGGGCTCACAGGCTGTGAGGGGTGCACTGTGCGAGCACACCTCCACCCTCTGGCTCACCAGCCTGCTCACCAGCCATGCTCTGGTCCTCAGTACTGCCATGTCTGTGCAGGACAGTCTGGAGCCCTATGCTGGCTGCTCAAGCCTTCCTTCACGTTGCACATGCAGAAGTACACACCTAGCACCATGATTTACACCTGAAAACTTCAGGGGAAGTAATTTCACTGCTTAACAGATACAGCTCATAGAAAAGGGCACATCTTAGACCCCATCTCTCCTCAGACCTGAGGTGCTGTTATGCAGACTATGCCAAAGTGTTAGTCCGCTATCAGAAATCACAGCCCTGAAAGTACCTCTTTATCTTTCTGCCTTCCTTACGAAAGGCAGAACATGCAAGACAAAAGCAGCAGCACATGCTTTTACTCTGCAAAACAGATAATCATTCCATTCTCTCATTGCAGAGGAAGCAAACCACTCCCTGGAGAGGTCTCTCCCAGAGGCAGGATTGAGGGGCTCCTGGCTACCTCAGGAGGATAAGTCTGGAGAGGGAGGCCAGCCAGATTTCCAGACTCTGTCTCTCTGTGAGCCCCACGGTGCCCTGGGTAAGGGCTCACCTGGAAAAAGGGAGCACTCAGGTTCAAAGACCAATATCAAACTGGAATATTTTCTGCTCTACTGCTCATATAGGTCATTTGTGATTCAAAAAATGTTTGAAGAAAGGGCAATTATAAAACCTTTAATGTGCTATTAAAACATTTATAATAGTTCAGCTTCCCAAAACATGCAGATCTCTTTGGACTACATACACATTGTCATTGTGCAGCTAACCACAAAGTATTCACCCAGAACTGCTAACAATAGCATGAAGTACCTTACATGCATTGATGCATTTGATTCTAAAAAAAGAGTAAGATATAGCCTACATCTTGGACTATAAATGGACTAAATTCAGCTCAAAATTAATGATGCTGTGTTCATTGGGAGTGAAATAAACAACTCTTTCTTTACATTAGCTGTCTATTTTGACCACTATTAATTGAAGATATTTTTTCCTCTGCTCAAAAAAAGGAGTGAAAAACCGACATCTATCAACAACAACTTACTGGGTTTGGAAATGCTGTTCAAGGTGACCACGTTGCACAACCTCTGAGCAGTGTTCTGTGAAAGGGCAGCTAACCATTAGCTTGTCGAGGAGGTTATTCACTAGTATGCTGGACTTCCTGCATGTCTGGAGAATCACAAGCTTGCGGTCCATAGGACAGAAGTCTTTTTCCACAAGGAAGTTTGTAAGGCAGGCTGTGCAGAAGGTGTGACCACAGAGCGTGTCTAATGGCTGAAGCAAAGGTTGCAGGCAAATGTGGCATATCAGATCATCATCCACTTCTTCGGTGTAGCTGTACAAGTGGTTTTCTTCCGGTAAATGTGCTTGGCCGCAGGTGACACAGAGTGGCGGGGAGCTATCCTCCATTTCTTCTTCTTTCTGGCTCATAATCTGAATTGATGCAATTCAAAAGGGGGCAAACACCCAACCCGTTTTCTGTTTGTAGCAAGGCTCGTGTGCCGTCAGATCTGTGGGGAGGAAAGCCAAAGGGTTATGCTCTGGGTTCTGTTTCCTTACCATACTTGCAGTATGTAGCTGGATATGAAGTACATATCAGGTACTAGGAAAGGATTGTGTCTTTGGGATGGGAGAGTGAAGCAAAGAAGGGGCAGAAAAAAAAGAGATAATTAACTCCAGGGGCATATTTTCTCATAACTCTAGCCTAATTTACACAGATACATTCATTGTAAAGAAATATATCAAAATAGGTAGAAATACTACAGGCATTTAATGGTTGAAAACCTTAAATTAGCATACAATTGCAGTTCCAGTCAGATGACTTTGTGGCCACATTACGTCTGCCAGAAAAGTAGCATTGTGTGTGGGCAAACACTGCAAGACTGTGTGTAGAAATACAGGTAAGAATAAAGGTTGCTGGCCAAATTGCCTGTTCAGCACAGCAAGGGAGGGCAGCAGCTTCACCTAATACACACAAGCATACAAACACTGTATTGTAGCCAGAGGCAGGATAATTTGGGTCATGAGAATTTAGAGCTTGGGGCCCTGTAGACCATTCTCATACTACAGCAGCAATGGACCTGGACTTCTGCATTTGAAGTTTGCCTGCCTGCAGCCAAACAGTTATAACCATCTGCAGCAGCATAATCAGTTCAAAACTTCATTTGCTCTGCAAAGAACCAAACATCTTACATACTGAAGTCCACAGCACAATGCTAAGTAGTGTATTGCCTGTTCCCTTTATAATTTCTCATACAGAAACCCAGTATGTCCCTAGCTAAAAACCCAATTAGCTCTGGCCACAACACCTGCCTGCTGGTATTTTAAAGATGTAAACTCTGTGGGTGGCAGTAAAACCAAAAGTAATTTGTAGTTTTTACTTGATGAACCCCAACTGCTTGTTGGAGCACTTATGTCTCATTACTGCTATGCTTATTTTGATACACCACTCTGAAAATAAACATGAAGATATAAAATATGCAATGGCCTAATTACTGCTCTTGCTTGCAAATGTAAATCTTATTTGCTGCTCTGCCTTAACACTGTACCCTTGCTTTCAGCTTGACTTAATTTGCTGAGACAATGTGTCAGCCTC